TCTTCTTGTAGTTTAGCCATTATTGTTTATATAGTTCTTACTATTACTACTTATTAGTAGCAATTTTATTGAGATATTTTGAGCCAAGTTAAAAAACCATTCCTATGACAACTATCCAGTTATAATTAAATTATGTGTTTTTAAATTTTATCCATATTCTATTGTGAAAGGAAGCTGTTAGTTCTCCATATTTCTGCAGGTTTATTATTGCAGCCAGCTCAGTAGTTGTTGCCGGTAGAATATGAATATACACCATAAATCAGAATTTCTTCACTGAACTTCTCCATATTTCTGCAGGTTTATTATTGCAGCCAGCTCAGTAGTTGTTGCCGGTACAATATGAATATACACCATAAATCAGAATTTCTTCACTGAATTTGAAAATCACCACTCTTTAAGCATACTATATACCCATTATCATTTCCTTTATGTCTCATTTCGGCCCAGTGAACGAGCATCTTAACAAGATCCAAAGTACCAAGCCTTATAGCTTTCCTACCTCACATTTCCAAAACATTGCTGTTTGTGTTTTTCTTTTGTTATTTGGTCCTTTGTATTTTCTTCCCTGCTGTGCTTTAAGTTCCATGATGGGAAAAGTGGTAGTTCCCAGTCAGCCAAATTGTACCTAGCACAAAAATTTGTGTACAGAATTTGGTAATCTGGTTGAATTGCTTAATGTTACACATTAAATACATATTCGTTAATTGACTTGCCTCAGTACATAATTGTAGTTAAGGGAGGAAAAGATATATAGCATAGGAAATATTTTGCAAGCTGTTTTCTGAACCTACAGGGCAAATTGCCTGAGGCACTAACCAAAGAACTGGGTCATGATCCTTATATACTTGGGAAAATGTATGATTATTTATAGACGTAAACCTAAGGAGCATATATTATGTGTAGCATAATGTTAAAAAATTTATATAGAATCTTACTACTGTACCTGCATATAAGAAATCTTTGTGGTAAAAGTTTATTCTTTGAAGTACATTTTTCTTTAGTATCTTACATAAGAAAATAGAGCCAACATTAAAAAGGATTTCTCCCCATGCTCCAAAACATACCAAAAGCAAAAACAAGAAATTCTATGTCAAAATGTTTTTCTTAGGCTTCAAAGTAAACCAAGAAAGCATTTTATTTGTGATTATCATGAAGTCTGAAATTCACACATTTAGGTTTTGACAGACTGTACCATAATTTATTCAAGTAGCAAGTCTGTGTTGGTATAAAATTGTAAAGATGAAAAATAAAATTGTATTTTATGAAAATAATCAATTTAAATGAAATATTTTTGGCAGTTCTCCTGTTTTTAGAATTTGTCTGCAAGCTCTTCATAATCATCACTTATCTGCATTTCAAAGAAGGCTGAACACTGGTGTTTTGTTCTTTATTAATATGAGGACTAGATCCCAAAAGCCTAGAAGGATTGTTTCAAAAACAGCAATATCTGAGCAAAGTGTGAAACTTTTAAAAAACTTTACTACTAGGAAATTCAGATTTTTCGCATCTGTTTACACAATTTTCTCACTTGTATGTTTTAAAGAATTATCTTTTTTTAAATAAGTTCCCTTCAAAAATTGTATTTTTAAAATACCTGATGTAATCTGGTAATGAATAATTCTAATTGTATTATAGAAGTAAATATATTTGTTCCCCTGTTTTTGTCTTAGTAAAACTCATTTACTAAAAAGTAGAAATTATGCCAAGATAATAAAAAAATTAAAATATCATCTGTGGGCCTGCAATAATAGTCTAAGAAAATGCTAGAAATGTTTATAATAACATACACTTAATAAACTTTGTACTAGTAATAACAACAGAGACTCTTACACATTGCTGATAGAAATATCAATAGGTACAATTACTTTGGAAAATTTGCAATACCTAATAAAGCTAAACATACTCATGCCCACCCTATGATCCAGAAACTCCTCTCCTAGAGAAAGTCTTAGACCCAACCCATACTGCCCCTAAAATGCATGTATTCACATGTATTCACATGTACTCACAAAAAGACATGTTCAAGGATGTTCATGGCTGCAGTAGCCAAAACTGAAAAGAATACCCAAATATCCTTCATAGGACACTGGATAAATTGTAATATCTTCATGAAATGGAATACTATACAGCAATGAGAATAAGCAAACTATTGCTACATGCACTTACATGGACAAATCACATAAACATAATGCTCATAAAAATAAAGCAGACTCAAATAAGTACTTATATAAAGTTCAAAAGCAGAAAAACATATTCATTGTTGTATAAGTCAGGACAGTGATTACCTTTGGGCAAAGTGGTGCCTGGAAAAGGTATGGCAGTGGGAGGGGGAGTGCATTTGTGATACTGACCATTCTACTTTTTAAATTTTTTTTTCTCATGGGGTACTTATCTTTATGTGCCTGGCTTATTTCACTAAGGATAATGTCCTCAAAATCTATCCATGTTGTTGCATATTGCAGAATTTCCTTCTTTTTAATAATTTTTTTTATTTAAATGCTGAATAGTATTCCCTTGTAGTTATATACCACATTTTTTATCCATTCACCTGTCAGTGGACATTTGATGCTTCCACACCTTAGTTATTGTGACTAAACATAGAACCTTAGCTATTCTGCAATAAACATAGAACTACTAATATCTCTTCGAGATCCTGACTTTAATTCATTTAGATAAATAACCAGAACTGGGACTGCTAAATCATATGATAGTTCTTTTTTAGTTTTTTGAAGGCAATTCTACTTCCTGATCCATGGTCTCTTCACATGAGTGTGTTAACTTTGTGAAACTTTACATGCGAGCTTATTATTTGTGTACTTTTTTGTGTGTATATTATATCTCGATAAGGTTTTTAAAAATCTTTAAAACCTATCAGAAGCTTGTACTAATAAATTATTTAATTAAAAATAACTATGGCTTCCAGTTGTAGTTCTTGCCTCCAAGTTGCCTTAAAAGAATATTTCTAAATTAAAAAGATATATTTGTAAATTAATACTAAATACTTTTTTGTCTTTATTTTTTAATGTTTCCTTTTCCCTCTATACATAAGAAATAGATTTAATGAATAAAGAATAGTTTTCATAAGGACATTTATTTTACAAAATATTTCCAGTAGAGGGAGCATCACTTTTTTTTAACTATAAGAAATTTTATTTTAAGAGCCATCACTGAAAATAAATATATTTAAATTTTTAAACATAATTAAAGTTCTTCATAGAGTGATGAGTTACTCTCACCTAAGACCAGTCTAAGAGAAAAATTTTATTTAATTTATCAAAGAAGAAGAAAAACCTGATGATAAAGAATATATATACCATACAAACTTCTATATTGGGTATGTGTTTTTCAAGAGATTACATCTTTGGATTATTCATAAAAAACATTTTTATTATAATTATTTAATATTAAGGAAGACATTTTTTATAATTATGATCATCAATTTGAAATAAAATTTTTGTGAATTCCAATAAAACTAAACAAAAATCAAAAATGTACTGATGAAGATTATATATCTAAGAATATATTATAACAAATATCATGGTGAATTACCATGATACAAATTTGACCTTATTGACCAAAATGGTTTAGTTACTGACATTAAACTTCCTAAATCTAAGTGTCTGTCAACTAAGTTACTTTGATTTCTTTGAAAAAAATATGCATATCATCATCTAAGATACTAAGAAATAACTATAGTAAAATGATCCATTTCACTTATAACATGAATTTTGTGCTCCCTTCCATGAAATTTTTGTAAATATAAAAGCTCTACACTCTTTGTTTTAATCACTATAGATAAAATTTGTAACAATTGTAGTTATAAAAGTTTATAGTCATATTAAAATATTTTTCACTGAAAATATCCTAGTTTATAGTGGTTCAACCCTGTACTTCAGAAAATAAATAATTTCAAAATTATAATAACCTTCACAATTAGTTCCTGTTACTACAGGCATGTCAAAATAACATAACTTTCTGTAAGACAGTTTTTATGACATACACTATGTTTTCTAAGGTGCCCAAAGATGAAAAATTGACATAACAACCCAAAAGACAATATTTTTATACTTAAAATAAAAATTAATATACAGAACTTACTTACTCTAATTATTTTATTTCAATCCTCTTGAAAAGCTTGTGGACCATAAAAATGGAAATCTTAGGGTAATTATAATAGTAAAGTAAAATTTACATGGTGGTTCAAAAGTCTATATGAGCATAACCTTGCTTATATATTGTTTGATTAAGAATAAAGGTTAAATTATCTGATCTTTTGACTAGCCTCTCTTTTTTTAAAAAAAATAAATAAAAAGGAAAGCCCACCAAATATGACTGGACGTGATAAGAAAATTACATGTCATAGAACAATTTTATTCTTCAGTAGGTTTCGTATATCACTTTCTCCAAAAAGATTATTCTTGACATAGAACATATCTAATGATTTATGATTTTGTCTTCATGTGTTACCTGAACTAAAACTCTTTAGACATGGCACTTGTAAGGCCTTAAGTGTTATTTATTTAACTCAACCTCTGGTTATACCAACAATGTTCAGAATTTCTCTGATCAGTATATGCTTATGTTCTAGATTTTTTGCCACTTAAAAATATTTCTGTCACTAAATGTTTTGTAACTTTCAAAAAGAGAGTAACCCTCAGAATTTATATTTCACTTAGAAAAAAGAAACTCTAAAAGCAATTTGAGGAAGAAAACCTAGGTTTGGGAAATAATTTTTCTAGGGTAATCTCAGCTGCAGATAATATGAGGCCAGTTACTAAAAAGCTCTAATTAGTGAAAATAGAACAAAATTCCATGTTTTTAGAGGTCTCGATAGACCTCTAAAATTGCTGGACAGTTTTAGATAGAAAACAATGCGATTTAAGGGATACTTTCAACAAGTCAATTTCGAATTGCATTCTTGACTTCATCAATAACAAGTGGTTGAAACCTAGTGCACAGGCTTAAATAGTTCTTCAATTGGTAAATATAAGGGGACTCACCTGAGTAACAGTGCAGCTTCCCAGAAGTAAAATCCCGAAACTAATGTCCGAAAGTGTCTCACGTGGGCCATGATAAGGAGAGATTTTCACGATCCTGAAATTAGTCTTATCCAAGGCATGGGGGACGAAAACCAGGAACGAAAATGTGCAATCTAACTCCGTGTGGTGTTGCAGGAGACGAACGCCTGGAAAGCTTCAGCACCTTAGACAGCTCCCCGCAGTAAGTAAAGACCTTTTCTTTCAAACACTTGAAATTCCCTTTCGACCCAGGCTCTAAGCATTGAGCAAAAAGAAGATTCTCAGGGTACAAACGTGCAGGTGACTTATACGGTGAACGCGGAATAAGGGGTGAGATGAAATGTCTGAAGTGCCTAGGTTCTGGGCAACAGTTCACTGAAGCTCTAGTGGCAAAGAAAGAAAGCCTGACTCTCAGACACTGAAGAAAAAATAGCAGCAACAGCGGGAACAAGGATGCTTCTGCACCTGCTCCAAGCGCCGCCCGCCGAATCCCACTCTCCACCTTTGAGTAAAACCCGTCACAGCGAGCGCGGCAAAGGGAAGCGGGGGCGGAGCCAGACGACACTGTTCTGTCTGCCAATCACGACCGCATAGCGGGACAGAGTGGCAGGCCACTCACGACCGTAGGCGGTGCTTAACACTTTACCCTTTAAAAAAAGCGGTGAATAACTGGTGCAGAGCCTTAACTGTGACTGGAGGGAGTTGGGGGAAGAAAGCCTCAGGACTTAGTATTGGAAGAGCCAGCAGCTTTTGTGAATTAGGTGGCAGAATAGCGCTGGAGAGACCCTTTACTGTTCCCTTCCGGGAAAAGGCACAATTTAGGAACGAAAGGTCTTTTCAGACGTGACCCCATGTCTTTTACCTTATGTCGAAATGCAGGAGTCAACAGTAAACCCAGACCCTTAGAAAGGGCTAGGGAAGAGCAGAAAAATTGGTACATGAGCATCAATGAAACAGGAGAATCAGCTGCTTCTAGAATTCTCATAACCCTGGCTAGCTTCCTTCTGGCCAGGAAGCATCGTTGGCTAGAGTATGTTGAGTTTCTTTCTGTTGTAATAAGGGTTCTAAAAGGATGAAGGTGGGAAATCTAAAGAGATGGGTACTAGAGACACAATGCTACCCACCATTTTTTTTCTTACACATTTTCCATATCTTAACAGTAAGTTCAAGTAAAGAGGACAACTAGGTCATAGGGTACATCCTCTATCATTCATATCTCTCTCCCTTCTCTCGCCATCCCTCTCTCTCAGCCCACACTCCCCCCCCCAACCATTTACATGGGAATTTGGATTGAAGACTAGAAAGGAAAAGTGTGTGTATGTTGTGTGCATGCTTATTCATGTATTTCAAAATGAAATTTAAAAAGATTAAAACCTATGCTATTAGATCTTTATAGTGGCTTTTATTTACTATCAACCGAGATTAAAACTTTCACTACTTGAATTTTAGCTTCTCCCTAAAACTTCCTTAGATATTTATTCTGAAAGCCCTACTTTAATCATTTAACTTTCTCAATGACTAAACTATATGCCAAGAATGTCTTCTTAGTCTATCACACAAACATTTTCTTGTTAATTAACTTCCAGCAGCAATTGACATATTGACTATCTTGTAATTCTTTATTTAACTGGAAAAGTATAAGTTATTACCTTCTCACCCTCTTAAATGAGGACACAATGAAAAAATATCTCTTTTTATTCTTTAGTAGACAAGGTTATTTACATTTAGTGAGAATAAAGAATTTTGGGATTTATTTTTATGTGTTATTACTACATCTGTCTCTTTTTGCATTTAGTTTTCTGATTTAAATTACAAACTTCCAGAAGTCTCATAAGAAATATCACTGGTTCTTAATCTCAGGAAACAAACTGAGGGTTGCTGGAGTGGGGGGGTGGGAAGGATGGGGTGGCTGGGTGATAGACATTGGGGAGGGTATGTGCTATGGTGAGTGCTGTGAATTGTGTAAGACTGTTGAATCACAGACCTGTACCTCTGAAACAAATAATACATTATATGTTAAAAAAAGAAGAAGAAGAAGATAGCAGGAGGGGAAGAATGAAGGGGGGAAATCGGAGGGGGAGAAGAACCATGAGAGACGATGGACTCTGAAAAACAAACTGAGGGTTCTAGAGGGGAGAGGGGTGGGAGGATGGGTTAGCCTGGTGATGGGTATTAAAGAGGGCACGTTCTGCACGGAGCACTGGGTGTTATGCACAAACAATGAATCGTGGAACACTACATCAAAAACTAATGATATAATGTATGGTGATTAACATAACAATAAAAATAAAAAAAAAAGAAATATCACTGGTTCTACCCATGAAAATGGCACCCAGAGAAGGTTCATACAGTTTTAATCAACTCAGTCTTTTCAATGAACCTTTTGAAAGCTCAGTAAGAACAAATGCTTTTTAGCTGGTCATTCTTTGAATGGCAATAATTCTTTTAAAAGCCACACATAATAAATGAAACAAAACTTACTACATTTCAAGAAGGCCTGGATTCCTTGCCTTGCTTCACCACTACCTAACTGGGTATCTTTGGAAAAGTAAACTACTTTTAAAAGTATCTTTAGTTAGGGGCACCTGGGTGGCTCAGATGGTTAAGCATCTGCCTTTGGCTCAGGTCATAGTTCCAGGGTCCTGGGATCGGGCCCCTCATCGGGCTCCCTGCTCAGCGGGAAGCCTGCTTCTCCCTCTCTCACTCTCCCTGCCTGTGTTCCCTCTCTCGCTGTCTCTCTCTGTCAAATAAATAAAATCTTTAAAAAAAAAAAGTATCTTTAGTTAATATATTTTTAAAAATATATTTATTAAGGGAATTGAGTTAATTTACCTCTGAGATTCATTCTCTGGCCCAAAGGAAACAACCAATGGATGTTTGTTTAAGTGAGCAAATTAATGCACAATATTTAAAATTCTGAGTTTACATTAATCTGGAAAGTTAGGTTACATGACAGTTTTTAAAAGGTAGGATAAATTTAGCTATCTCATCTCATTATTAACATGAAAGCATATAAATATTATACTTTATCAAATTAATAGGTCTAGTCAATCAGTTTTTGGGGATAAATGTCATGTAAAAGAATGGTAATATGGAATCCCCAGATTATTGGTTTTTCATAGCACCATCATTATTTCCTTCAAATTATTTATGAAAAGTTATGATCCTCCTCATTTATTTGTTTGACTTTTCCACTGCAGTGAGGATAATGGCCATTATTTAGCATAGAACCTAACATATAGTATATACTCAATAATCATTGAATGCACTAATAATCATATTAGAAATGCAATATATATTTTTTAATTAGATTTGTGACTTTGTTACAATGCATTGGGTACTAGGTTAATTTTGATTAAATAAATTAGAAATTAATGAAAGAGTGGGTTGTAGTGCCTCGCTTCTTAAGTTAACATTTAATGATTAATTTTCAAGGGCTTCTTGTCAATGAATTTTTATGTTGTTTGCTTTTAATTTCTGTAAGATCAAAATGAATTTCATGCATCTACATATTTGTGACAGCTATTCTTATACATTTTATCCTTTTGAAAATAATAGTCCTGATTGGATGGATGGGTGAATGAAAGTGTTTTTGGAAAAAAGACCATTCTATGGCTGATGACTAGCCCATTTACATAAAATTAAGCTGGATTCTGATTTGGTCAAATCTCTTCTCTTCTCTTCATTGCCTTTATTATTTCTTGAACTAATGGATTATATTTTATATTATATAAGACATGGGATTTCAGAGCTGAATGGGATATTAATCTTCATCAAATTTAATACTTTCCTTTCAAAAAGAAAGTAATTGTAGCCTGAAGTGGTTAAGTGATGGTTACAAACCCTCATATTCAGCAAGTCGAAAATATCAAACTTGAATTTGGTGTCACTGGCTCAATGTCTAGCATTTTGTCTACCCCCACTCCTCTATCTTTAATATGTCTACTAGTGTCTCAAACCTTATGCATATTGACTAACCTACAGATAAGTAAATCAATTTCAGTCTAGTGATAAAGCTTTTTTCATATGCTCAGTTGTTAGTACCTATGACCTAAAACATATAATGCTTTATACATATTGATAAAATGATTTGCAACTTAATAAAAGACTAATTTACTTTATTGAAGCCAATGTAGTATGTGGTTAAAAAATAGTTTACTGAGAGTTGATCAGATTTAGTAGTATTGGGTCCTACTAATCATCTCACCAAAAGTTTATGTATAAGTCAAAATGCCAATTTAAAAAGTTACAAAAAGTTATGTCATTTTTGGAATAATTAGAATATTTGTATTTTTGAATTAACACTCTGGAAAAGTTGAAAGTATTAACTTATTTCTTCTTTTTTTACCTTTATTTAGATATAATTAACAAATAAAATCATACTATATTTAAAGTGTAAAACATAATGATTTGCTTATATATGTATACACTATGAAAGGATTTTCACAATTGAGTTAATCAGCACATCCATCATGGCACATGTTTACCTTTCTAATTTTTTCTTTTTCTTTTTAATTAATTAACATATAATGTATTATTTGTTTCAGGGGTACAAGTCTGATTCATCAGTCTTACATAATACCCAGTGCTCATTACAACACATACCCTCCCCAGTGTCCATCACCCAGTTACCCCATCCCTCCACCCCCACCCCTCAGTTTGTTTCCTATGATTAATAGTCTCTTATGGTTTGTCTCCTTCTCTGGTTTTGTCTTGTTTCATTTTTTCCTCTCTTCCTCTATGATCTTCTGCCTTGCTTCTTAAATTCCACATATCAGTAAGATCATATGATAATTGTCTTTCTCTGATTGAAGAAAGTCTTAATTTAGGAGTCAATCAGAAAGTTGCTTGTTCAGTACAAATCAGATAGAGGAGAATTAATCTTATTGCAGATGTAGTTAATGTCATCAAGGATGTGAACCTAGCGAATTTATCTTTTGTATAAGGATCTGCCTACTACTGAACAAACTACAATAATCATGACATGTTAGTGGATCAGGTGCCTCTTTTTGGAATAGTGGTAGAAATATCTAATAATTTATCTCCATTTTCTTGTCCAGGATACAAAATTTCTCACATGAATCTCAGCAACAGCCTCCTA